AAATATTTCAGTATATGGAAGACCAATTATAGATTATGCTAGCTTGAAAAGGAACTAAATTTTAAGTCTGTAGTTTTCAAACACAGATTAGTTATAAGAATTTGGAAAAGTAATTAAGCAAAGGCCAGCATGTGCTAGAAATGGATATACTAACCTTGCTTAAAAGTATCTCAGACAAAATGGTACTTAAAATGTACAGAAGGATTCCAATCAGTCATTCTATGTGATTTTATCTTGCTTAAGTTCATAATTTTTTCCCAAAGAAAAAGATATTGCTTCTAATATAAAGACAAAGAATATAATATATGATATTTAAGAAAGAAGTACCTTCTTCTGAGAAATTGACCTTCTCTTCAACACTAGAGGCTTCTGGAAGAGAAAAAGCATATGTGTATATAATTTAAAAAACTAAAGCCAAGGATAAATAAGAGTAGCTAATTTAGGGAAACAAACATAAAAATACAATCAATTAGGCTGGGGATTTAGCTCAGTGGTTCCACTGGCTGCCTTGCAAGCATAAGGACCCAAGTTTAATCCCCGGTACCAAAAAAAAAAAAAAAAAAATACAATCAATGTTTTTTTCTGTTAAATCACTAATCTATTATTTCCTTCTGGCTGAGTCAGAAATAACTCTGTAAAATAGAATCAAAAATAGTGTTTATTTTTCCTTTAGTCATTGGTCTACTTGTATTCTAAAATGTAATTTGTATGTGCAGAAAACACTAAATACTACAACAATAAATATTCTAGTCCTTATAGATGGATATATTATTATTCTTTTTGCCAGATTGCCTATGCTACCATTAAAAGCCAGCGGAACTGAAAAACCATTTTTTAAACAAAAAAATTTGTTTGTTTCCCTGTAGTTTTGGGGATTGAATTTAGGGTCTCGTGCATCCTAGGCAAGTGCTTTACCAAAGAGCTGTATTCCAAGCCTTTTTAAGTTCACCTCTTCCCTTTCTCCCCTCTCCCTCCCTTCCCAATGTTCTTTTCTTTTCCTTCATCTTTCTTTCTTTCCTTCCTCCCTCCCTCCCTCCTTCTTTCTCTTTTCCTTTCCTTTCTTTTTTGTAGCATGGGAGTTTAAATCTTGTGCTCAATTTCTGAGCTACGTCTGTAGCCCTTTTAATACATTTCCACTGGCTTGAACCGCCAGACATACATGCATGACTGTCCCATTAGGCGGCCTGCACCACTGGATGGGACAGCCATACATGTACCACTAGTGGTTTCGAGCCTCTAGGCAGTGAGACAAACAAATTACAGCCCTGTCGTGAAGGTGTTAATTTTTTAAAAAATTTTGTGGCCAGGTTGTGCCAAGTTGCTCAGGCAGGATTCAAACTTGCTATTTTGAATCAGTCTCCATAAGAGTTGGGATTACAGGTTTGTGCCATGAGATAGTGTCTTGCTAAGTTGCCTAGGTTGTCCTCCTGCCTTAGCCTTCTCAAATCAGGTTTTTAGTGCACTGGTATATCCAAAAAGAAAATAAGAAAAGTAAAAAAACAAAACAAAACAAAAAAACCCTACAAAACCCTTTCCCTATTTTCAGCAGGGGCATATACATTGCTGTTTCTCCGAGCAATAGAGAATTTAAACAAATTTTAAAACATATTTAAAAACTTTCAAATGCAGTATTTTTACATATCAAATGATCATCATAGAGAAGCAGCATGATTTACATTTCAATTAAATTGAGAGAATGTTTCTTTTCTGCTTTTTTCTCTATTGGTTTTAACCTCTATATGCTTTTTATTTTTATTTTTATTTTCTCACTGCCTCTCTAACCAGGTCTTTATTCAAAATAAGCTGTCCAATTTTATGTCACCTGTCTAGGATAGGGATTGACTTTAAGAGTTTATGGAGCAGGCCACTTTTTAAAAGTGTAAAAGCTGTCAGTACCAAAATGGAGCTAAACAACACTAAACAAAATGGAGCTGGGAGGCCATGAAGGAAGAATCTTAAAGCATGTATGCTTTGTTTTGTTTTGTTTTGGAGACAGGGTCTCACTATGTAGTCCAGGCTGGCCTCGAACTCACTATGATCCTCTTGCTTCAGCCTCCTGAGTGCTGCGATTACAGACATATGCCACCACGTCCAGCTTCATGCATGTATGCTGATGATAAGAACTATTATAAGGTGTCTCTGAAACCAGCTCCTGATTAGTCACTTCTATGAAGATATTACTCTAGCAACAGCTAGTATTACCAACAAATAATCACCAATTCCTACAATTGCTTGTGCAGCCAATGAGATTTATTTAAAAATAACTCATGTAGCTCCTCTTCTGTCTTTAAAAGCAGCTTCTTGCACCTTCCCCTTTTGATGTACCTATGGTCTGCTATTACATGTATATCCTGAACTGCAACTCTTTGCAATTCATGAATAAAGTCTTTATTTTGAAGAGTTGTTCTGTCACTCCTTTTAGAGCGACAGGAATGAAGACTGTGGAAAGAAATCGCCAAAAAAATTCTATGGTGAAATGGAAATTTTTTCACATTAATACTATAGTACTGGTTAAAGTTTGAATTCTACTGAAAATACTACTACTTGATGATGGTGGCAAGTGCAAATCCGTATCTAAAGCATGTCTGCCAACATACATTGTAGAAGAAAGCTAACCCTGAGGAAATTGCTAATAAAATCACCTTATTCCTAAAAGCCCAGAGTTTGATATGTACAGTATGTGCTATTTAAATCTAAGCTCTAAAGGAGACTGTTCTTTATTTTTTTTTTTTAAAAAGAAAAGTCAAACTGGTCTCAGTGCTATTTCTCTTAAAAATTTTTAAATTAATATTTCTATCCCTTACAGGAGGAATTATTTCCTCCTTTATTTTATTTTCTAATTACCTATAATAGTTCCCTTTTTGTACAGCAGTTTTATTTATTTATATAACTATGCATATAACATGCAAATAAGACATGCTTTCTTAAGAGCTTGTAAGACATGTAAGTGTCCCTAGATATTTTTAAAGCCCACCATTTCCACTACACACCTAAGACTTTATGATATATGCTTGGTGTGAGGACTACAGGGTACTCAAGAAAACAAACTACTTACTCAGTGTTTCATCTGGGGATAAAAACAAAAATATTACAAATGACACTGAGTGCTTTATCAAAGGAAAATTAGCACACAAAAGTCAAATCCTGAATTTATTCTTGGAACAAATAAATGACAATATGGGTGACTTGCTTTGTTTCTGCCATCAATATAAATAATGAGTTGGCACACTTTTTTTCCATAAAAGGACACGTAATAAATCGTTCAGGCTTCATGAGTCATTTAAGATCTCTGTCACATGTGCTTTTCTTTCAAAAATGTAAAAACTGTTTCTTAGTTTGTGGGCCATACAAAAATGGATTATGGGACAGAAATATTAAAACAAAACAAAACAGATTATGGGACAGCCTAAAGGCTGTAGCTTGCTGATCCCTAAGATAGATACATCTAAGGCTGTTCAATACCAATGATACTTTTGAGGACACAAGAATGGGCAGCAGGAAGGAGATATCACAAGTATCTAAACACCACAAATGGCCATGGCATATAATCCTAGACATGAAACATTACTATAAAAGGAATCAAAGGGTGCTGTTCTTTACACCAATCTATAGAAAATTACTTCAATTGGAAAACACTTTTTCTACTTAAATTTTTATCATAAAATACTTATAAAATGAAATGATTTTGAAACACAGCAAAGTAAGCGTTGGGTTATTTCAGCTCCAAATTCCCTCCCAATTAAGAGTCTTGGCTTACAAAAAAATTTTGTTTTTAAATAGACTACTTGAGAAACTGTGTAGAATTATATTATACAGGATACGCTGGATTATTGCAAAAATCATTTTTAGCACCTAGATGCTAGAAATCCTAAAGTCTCTAAAAATCAGCCTGTACTTAAGCATAAATATAGCATACTTATAAATGAAGTTTTCTTTTTGCCTTAAAATGTAAAATTAAGCCCAACCACATTTAATGTAGGTTCACCTAAAATTAACAGTTCATGTTATCACATGTTGTATCTCAAGACAAGCACTGTGTGGGCTGGGGATTTAGCTCAGTGGTGCTGCCACTTGTCTTGCAAGTGTAAGGACCCAAGTTCCATCCCCAGTACCAAAAAAATAAAATAAAATAAAACCAAGACAAGCACTGAAAATAATTTAAACTAGTTTGACAAATATGACAAAAAATATTGAACTTTTTATTTTAAAAATCCTAAATTCATTTTCTAAGTCAAGGGAAAAACCCTAACTGCTAAATTGATATCTCCTTTCTTTAGTAGGAATTTAACAAAGGCCAGAAAAATACAATAAATTATTTCATGTTCTTATATGAATTTAAATGATAGTATAAGATAATTTCTGACTGAATAAAAATTGAGACTATTAAGGTAAATCATTGTTATTAGAACAGTGTCTCAGAGGCTGAGCTAACGAACAGAATTAGAAATAAACAAACCTAATTCTTTCATTTTAGTATTTTCATTTGTTCTGTATGCTGAATCTGCAAGAGAGATGAAAAATGATTAGAGCTGTAAGGAAATGTGTCATATGGTTCTTTACTACAAGTTTAAAACCTTAACAGATTTTTATCATTCTAACACTTGCAAGGATAGTCAACTATTATATTTTATAAAAACCATAATTCTTTCTTAAAGGGAATGATTGAAAAATAATAGAAATCTACTGTAAAGATAAATTTCCATTTTAGTTACAAGACAAAGCATCCAATTAAACACAGAAAATGAAGTGCAAGTAGATAGTGTAATGTAACTTTTTACTTTTCTTTCTTAGTCATAGAATCAATTTAAGGGCAATAGTTTTTAAGGTTTTAGTAAAAAAGAAATGTAATTGAGGCAAGGAAATTTTTATAGCTTCAGTCTTCCTACAAAGCCTGCCTGTAATTTTTTAATCAGTGGTATACTGTGAAGAAAAAAAGTCTACGATCTTACTTTAAAAGCATCATGTGAGCACAGCAATATATAAGAACCTTTTAAAGAAAATGGGGAAGTCCTTTATAAGCTGATATGAAAGATTTCCCAATGTCATGAAAACTAAAAGTAAACAAGAAGGTACAGAAAAAAAATATTTATCAGGCCAAAATTTCTGTTTAAAAAAGGAGAAAAAGGTAATTTACACATGAATTTTCTTAACTATCCAAAAATATCTCCAGAATGATACTTAGTAAACTGACACTGGTTGCTTCTGACAAGGAGATCAAATGGCTAAGAGACAGTGGACACAAGGAAACTTCACTGTACATCTATAGCAACTTTAGAGTTTTAAACCATATAAGAATATATACTAATTTAAAAATCAAATCATGTTTATAAGTTAAACCAACAGATAAAATAATCCCTTACCAGATCTTGTGCTTCTCAGAGGGGGTCTACAAAGGCTAATTACAGGGTCTTCACTGGTCACTGATACAAGAAAACATTAAAAAAAGAAGTTTTGTTATAAATAATCCCTTTATTTAATCAATACATGCTTATAGAGCTTTTCATTATGCTACAGAACTAAAGATAAGTTTTCTCCAAGTAAGTGACAAAAATGAAGTAGAAATAAATTTCCTACCACATAAATTCAAGGTCTTGGAAAAATTTGCGATTGTTTTCAGTAGACCACATTGTGTGGGTGTGTGGGTGTGTGTGTGTGTGTGTGTGTGTGTGTGTGTGTATAAAAGAATTGTAAATAAAATTCTTCTAAATTGCTCAAACAACCAAAATCTGAACTATAAAGTATCGACTCAATGATCTATTCCATTGTGACTTACGCTTATTATGATTAATGTCATATTTTAATTTTAGAATTAGCTCCCCAAGAGATAATGTATTTCCTTCAACTATTTACTGTGTTTGTCCAGGAAATGTAAAGGCTAATTTTAAATAAAATGTTAATGTTAGCCATAGGCGTAGGACTAATGGGGAAGTCAATTTCATTAAATAACATGATAGTTTTAGTCTAGAAAATCAGTCTCACACAACATAACTTAAAACCCAATATACACCTGATTTTGGATTCTACTGTTTTGTTTCAATCATCTCTATAGAAAGTTGTTAGTATTTTATTCATTAGCTATTTATAATTTACATAAATAGCTTTAAAAATAAATCTTGTATGTATGTTGATAAAGGTAAATTTTACTTACCATTAGCTCCAGTATTACAACTTTTTCTCTGTATTCCAAACTTTTCATGTTTAATTAAAGCTTAAAACTGAAAATCCAGTCTTGTTGGGTTTTTCCTAAGCTATATTTAAAAACAAAAAATCTATAACTCTATCTATATCTCAATGACTATTTCAGTTCCATCTTTCGATTTAAGCATTTTTTGTATGTCTTATCATATAAAACCCTAGGTAAGGTGCTCCAAGGAAACAACACCAGAGAGAGGTACAGGAGAGTAAAGTCACTAGTATCCCTCACTTGTCATCATTGCATCCAGCATCAAGTGTGAGAATGGCACAAAGCAGGTGCTCAACAAATATTTTCTGAATTCCACATCTCTTCTGTAGTTCCATGAGAACGGGGGAGGGGGGTTATCTGCAAATTTTGTGTACAATGTGATTTCACACGTACTATCTCATTTCTCCAGGGGCTTTATAAACTACATAGGACCAATACCGCAGTTGTACTATACCAGCCTGAGGTTCAAGGTGGGTAGGAACTTGACCAAGACCCAGTGACTTCCACATCATACAGCCATGCCTTTATAAATAGTCCTTAAATACAGGTCTAATTTAAACTTTTTTTAAAAAACTTGTTCAATATATTCTAATATACAACAGTTTTATAATGGTCTAGAGTCTAATACTCAAGTCTTCAGGGTAACAATTTCAATTTTTCTTTTTTTGCAGTATTAAGGACTGAAAGCAGGATCTTTGCAGAGCGCTATATCCCCAGCTCTTTTTAAAATTTTGAGACAGGGTCTTGCTAAATCACTAAATTTACCGGGTTGGGTTCAAACTTTCGATACTTCTGCTTCAAACTCTATGGTGCTGTGAGAAAAGGCATTTTTATAAACTTAGTCTAGATTTAAAAACTGACATATTTCTGCTTTTCTAGGACATACAACTAAATTTGAAGATAAACTCAAAGATTATGATTTCTTTCCAAACAGCCTGGAAAATATGATTACAGCACTCATTACTTAATGTAGTTTTCTAAAATATTTTATAATATTAACACAGTAGCTGGGCATGGTGGTGCATGCCTGTGATCCTAGCATTCAGGAGGCTGAGGCACGAGGATTCTTGTGAGTTTATGGAAGCCTGGGCTACACAGTGAGTTCAGGGCCAGCCTGATCTGCAACAGCTAAACCTTGTCCCAAAAACAAAAACTCAAAAATATTAGCACAGTAACACAGGGTATTCAAGAAATAAAGAATGTGTGTTTATTTGAAAGTGAATCAGAACTAAACATATTATATTCTAAATTGAGAATAGAAAAGTCCAAATAATAACCTTATTAGAAGTAACATAAATAAATCAAGTCCTGGGCAATAAAATCCAGGAATAGCTGGGCATGGTGGCATAAACACATCTGCAATTCCACCATTTTGGAGGGTGAGGCAGGGGCAGCGTGAGTTCAAAGCTACCCTGGGTTACATGGCAGTGCTACTCTGTCTCAAAAAAACCCAAAACCAATCCAAATATAAATAAAAAATTTTAGCTTCGACAATTCCAATCATTTATACTTGAGGGATTTTCCTATTGTCAATAAAAGAAAAATAACTGGAATAGCCAAAGCATTAAAAACTAAATTGACCTTAATCCTTTCTTAGTTTCAAAAAATATTTTTAACTTTTAAAAACTTAAGCAAATTATTAAATGTACCCTAATTCTACATTCCATTGATTCTAAGACTTTAATACTCTAATATCTTTGAAATTGGGAATAACCCATGGCTTATTACAATAAATTACCAGAATATAGGAAGTACTTTTTCCTCTAGGTGGCACATAAAACAATGATGGTGTAACTTACAAATGATGGCATCTTGGGTTTGATGAAACAATACATATATATATTTTTGGTACTGGGGCTCAAACTCAGGACCTCGCACTTGTGAGGCAGGCAGTAGAAGGACTGAGCTAATTCTCTGGCCCAGATGAAACAATATTACAATGACAAGATAATATTGTGTGAATATTTTCCTACACAGAAATTTTAAAATAGAGGGCAATGTGACATAATCATTTGACATTTAACAACTTTACCAACCAGCTAATTGCTACACGGGACAGTAATGGCAAGGTTCTTTAGGAAAATGAAAGGGTTTTGAAGAAAGCTGGATCTGAATTTTGGTTCAGTCACATATCACATGTTCTTAAGAGAAACTTAGATGTTCTAAGCTCCTTTCTCATTAATAAAATGGCTATACTACTTATCCTGAAAGGTTATAAGAATTAACACATCCAAAGTGGCACGTTGTGAGTACATATTCAAGGGTCCAACCTTGTCTTTTTTGGACACATATTAACACTGCTTAATTCAGAGAACAACAAAAACACTGAATGAGGGATCCTTGATGAATCTGTTTTTTTGTTTGTTTGAGACAGGGGCTCACTATGTAGTTTAGACTGACTTTGATCTCACTATGCAGCTCAGGCTGGCCTCAAACTCATGGCAATCCTCCTGCCTCAGCCTCCCAAGTGCTAGGATCACAGGCGTGTGCCACCATGCCCAGCTCTGATGAATTTGTATTTTAAAAAGGTGGCAGGTTAACCAGGATGGGTGATGTATATGTGTAATACCAGCACTCTGGGAGATTGAGGCTGAGTTTGAGATCAGCATGAGTAATTTAGCAACTTGTGAGATTCTGTCTCACAATAAAAAAGGGCTGTGGCTGTAGCTCACTGCAAAAGCCCTGGTTTCAATCCTGAAGTGGCAAGTAAGAAGAAAAAACAGAACTATTCTTACCTGGAACTTCTTGTGTTCTGACAGATTTCTTTGAGACTGTTTGGTTTGTAACAGTTTGAGAAGATGGTTCATCCTCTAAAGAAAAGACATGGTAAGAGTTAAAATCCAGGATATAGTACATGGCCTGGGAGATAACACAGATGATGCATACTTAGCAGCAATATATAAGCAAAAATGTAGGAGTTCATTTCTTTAGAAATGTGTGATTAAGTTCACCAAAGCTTAAAAATCAAACTACTCCTAAGACAGTGCAAGCAATTCAACAAATGCCGGGGATTTAGCTCAGTGGTTCCAGCGCCTGCCTGCCTTGCACCAGGACCTGAATTTGATCTGGAAGCAAGGGAGAAAGAAAAGAAAAGAAAGGAAAAGAAAAAAAGAAAAGAAAAGATGCCAGGGGTTTGTCTCTGGTTCAGCAGCCTGCCTCTGAAGTGGTTTGATGCCCAGTACACCCCCCAAATATTCACCACTACTGCTTTATGACAAAAGCATATGTAGTCAAAAGATGGCTTGAATATTAAAAATGATGTAGAAGAGTACAGTTGGAAGATTTACTAAAATAGATAAATTCCTAGGCCCTGTGCGAGAGTTAATACAAAGTGACAAATTTACTCTGCCTCCTATAGGCAAGGCACTCTCCCAGGTACTGAAAGAAATACACAGAATCCTTCAAGGTCTATCAATTTAGAAACAAAACTAACATATTATATAGGCAAAACTGTCTTGAATTATTACATCCAAAAGTAACTGACATACCTTTAACAAAGAGCTTGCCAAATCTAGTCTTTAAATATATTAGCACTTTTAAATGTGAGCAAGTAAACCCGAGGCCTACTACTTACTGTGTTTTAAATCGAAAAATCCATATACAGGTACTTTGTCTACAATTAACTATGTAACCCATTGTGACTCAAATGTTCTGATTTTTCCCTCATAGGCAGGTGCTTTACATAAACTTCATCTGCGACCGTGTTACATCTGGTATTATGGCATTAAGGAAACTGGCTCACTATCTGACTTTTAATTAATTACAGTCTTTTCCTTTTTTGGTTTTTGAGACAGGGCCTTGCTATGTGTTTCAGGATGGCCTCAAACTCACGGCGACTCTCCTGCCTCAGCCTTCTGAATGCTAGCATCACAGGCGTGCACTGCCATACCCACCCACCAACAGTGTGT